CCCGCGAATGAATTACAATCTCTTGCCTCGCTGTTCGGGTTCTGTCGCCTGACAGAAAACGGGTTGTTCTTTGCACCGGATTTTATTCCCTCGGCGGTTGAAATCGGGCTCACACTTGACTTCTCTTGTCATGTACAAACCGTCCCGGAGCCGGTTCCTGGCTCCACCCTGCGGCCCGTTACTGGGACGTCACCTGAGCAGAATTCCCCCTACGGGGGGTGTTTCCCCAGCACCTCCCTTTACGGCAGCTCCATGGAGGCGGATCCCAGACCCCTGTAAACCTGGCGCGTCCTGTGTCTCCTGCCAGTTGGGTCAATCGGATCCCCCCTCCCGTCCTTCGCAGCCTGGCCGCCCGCCCGGCTCCGGGACCCTCTGCGCTCCCCCCCCTCCCTTCTTCCAGGGGCTGCTGCCTGTATGAGCGAGCGGGAAACTGAGTCCCGACTGAAGCGGAGCGCGCGGCGGGGCGCACGGAGACTTGTGGCCGGGGAGGACCGCTGCTCTGCTGGTCCCGGGAAAGCGAGCTGCGTCCAACCCCCTGCCCCTGAGCTCCGCCACAGCCGGCGCCAGCGCTGCCCGGTTCGCCCCGGGGGGCTCCAGCGGCTGCTCGGTTTGATCTGATGACCGGACTAAGAACTTGCTCCATGAATGTCCCTCGGGCGCAGGGAACCCCCCCCCGCCCAGGAGACCGCTCGAGTCCCTTCCCAGGCTCCCCTAATACCTCCACAGCCCGTGGCGGGCGGCGCTGGGCCCGGGGAGCTGCAGCTGGAGGGGAAGGAAGCCCAAGCTCTGGAAAGTTTCCAGGGGAAAGTGGCTTAAAACACCAGGGAGGCTCAGCGAGCACCTGCTGTTCGACATATCAGCGCCGAACAGGCTGGCGGGGCGGGGGATCCGGATTGACACTACAAGCCACAGGCAGGGACACGAGCCCCCGACGCAACCACCCGGCTGGCAGCCACAACCCGGGACACCCGAGCGCAGCCGCACGCCCCACACCAGACACACACACAACGAGACACAGCCGCCCCCGATCACACAGGCAGAGCGAGACCCAGACACCAGCCATCCCCCCGCCGGAGCCCCATAGCTCCCCGGGGCTGCCCCCCAGCCAGGGACCCGAGCACCCGCGCGTCTGCCCGGACGCAGCGCGGTGAAGACCCCGCCAGGGAGAGCGCCCATTAAGCAGGTAAGTACAGTAATTGAGCGTTGGCTGTTGCCAAGAAGTGCTGATTTCAGCTAAATGGGGAAGAAAGATACAAGCTCCCTTCATTTGCATAATAATAGTCCATGAGGCAAAGCAACACTAAAACGTCTTGTCTGCTGTTAAATCAAAGCGCTTCATTAGCATTTAATTCTCACTCTTACGGGTTAGATTGGAAGCCAAGTGCTCCAGCAGCCCCAGAGAACCTCCCCAGGAATCCATGCAACCGAGAGCCGTGGGGGGGGGGGGGTCGGCCCTGCTTAGCCCAGTGCCAGTCTGTGCATCTGGGCAGCCTGTCTGGTCCACACCCTCCCAGACCCTCCTCTGCCTCCAGCTCCCATTGAAGCCAATGGCCAGAGTCCCGTTGGCTGGAAGGGGGCTTTGCAGGGGCGAGGGGGGCCAGGGATGGAGACAGGGGCCTCAGGGGACCTGGCTTCTGTTCCCAGCCTTGCCACTGACCTGGGGCCCATCCCTGCCTCTTTGTACTGCCCTGCTTCCCTCCACGGCCTTTGTCTGTCGAGCAGGGGAGCAGGGACTGGCTCTGTGCAGGCCGGTTAAGGCCTTTCTGGCGCTGCTATAATGTTCCCTGGCGTAAATCAGGAGTGACTCCATTGCAGCCAGCCTGGTGTGAACGAGAGCAAGCCAGGCCCCCGCCCTGCGAGTGGCTCTGGCCTGCCCCTCCCCCTGACACCACGGATCCTCTCCCAGAGGGAGGCCTTAGTTAACTTCCTTTCTGTTCCAAGCACTTGATTTTTGCCTCATCATGCTTTCATGCCGAGGAGCCCTTTCTCCGCCAGGGCACTTGTGCTTGAATATGTTATTAACTTTATTGTCAGGTCCTGCAGCCGGGCTCGATCTGCATTACCATCCATGGCCCAAGGGCTTTTGCGACTCCGGCAGACGGTGCAGCTGGGACCAATTCACCCAAATCCCTCCTCCCCTCCCCGACCCAGCAGCTCCAGAGAGGAGGGCATCAGAGACAACGCCTGGTGATTACTGGGGGGGGGGGTCCCTGTCTTCGGGCACTGGGAGCCTGCAGTGCTCCCAGTGCTGTGACAGCCAGAGCCTAGATACCACGGGGATGGGCCCTTAGATTCGGATGTCCCGTGCTATCGCCCAGTGTGCATTCCCATCTCGCTTCCCCTCAGATCTCCAGCAGCAGGTAGAACAGGATCAAAGACCTTCCAGCACCTGCTGCTGTATTTCAGTACCGGGGGAGTCAATCATCTCTTGTCAAGGTCCAGACTCCAGTGAAAATAACAACCGG